TTTTCTACTTCTATAATAATTACATGGGTGGTTGGAACAAATTTACGATAGAGTTCACATGATTTGCTGGGGGTAAGTAAAAAGTAATAACGATGGGTTCATCTATCACCGTGGGAATTTCTTGATATGGAGAAAAAGTGAACGAAGACACAGCTACTCCATTGAAAGTTACTAAGTTGGCTAGAGCATCAACACTCCATGTTGTGCCAGAGAAGACTGCAGAAATTACCGAAGGAAAAGGAGCGGGAATCGCTGGAACATCCATCTATATTTATTTAATAATTTTTATGATTTTATTACACAAGAAACATAAGGAGTGAGAACGATTTTCAAATAAATATTTATAATTACATAACATGTGTAGCAATAATTAATAAAAAAAAATATGTATATATATATATATATTAATAATGATTAACATTAAAATTTAAATTAAACTTGTAGTGACTAGTCAGGATAAATGAGCATTATCATATCAACTAATAAAAGGATATTTCACCTTAATCAACAATAGGATATTTCACCTTCATTTATTACTCATTTAAATCCCCAAGGTCAAACCTCCAGTTACAAATAATTCAAATTTTATCTTCTATGACCATAGAATAATATTTATCTTCATAAATATGTGAAGAAATAACAAGACGAGTCAAGATATCACAACTATATCATAGTTGATTATAAATATATTTACGTAAAAAGAATATATTAAGAATATCAATGATATAAATAAAAATGACAATCATTATAAAATAATTAAACAATATAAAATATGAACACTTTAATAATTAATATGGATAAAAATAATCATAGATTAAGCAAATAAATGTGGTTAGGGACACCCCACTAAATAAATATACATAAAAAATAACATAAATAAATAAACATAATAATATATAAAATTTTAAAGAGATAAGGTTCTCCTCCCCCTTACCTTAAAATGCACACTTATCAGAATGTATACATATATAGACATCCGCTGTACATTCCGTTTCGACGGATTATTCTGTCAGAAATTTCCGACGGAATTTTCTGACGGATATTTCTGTCGGAAATTTCTGAAAAATTCCGTCAGAAAATTTTCTGACGGATTTTTTTTTCCGACGCCATTTTTTCGACGGATTTCAATCCATTGGAAAAAGAAAAATCCGTCAGAAATTTACCTATTTCTGTCAGAAATTTTCCTCGGAAATTAGTATTTTTCTTGTAGTGTGCGAGAGTTGTGAATTTGACACAAATGTTTTTCGATTGAAAATATGTTAGATCCCCTATCACTGAACATATATTATTAGCATTTAGAAGGCAACAACATGGACATGTACATTTTGAGAGAATAAAAGAACAATATATTTAAGGGGTCACCCATTGTTAGACTTATTGAACCTACAGTCAGGAGCTGACAAATAAATAAAAGAAGTGATTAGATGAGAATTGTAGGGAGACGAAGGAGTTAGAATGGGATTGTAATAGAAAGGATAATTAACAACTGATGAGCGAAAATAAAGCTTAAAGCAATCATTCAGAGAAGGGAGGTTGAGGAGTTGAAAGGGGAGCGATGAATTTATTATAATGAATGTTTTGTGTGTTGAGTGAAGAAGTTTGTTCTTCCTCTGATATAATTTTATTTATTTTTGGTTTTATTTCTATTGTTTATCTTATAACAGAGGTTTTGACATCGTTCTAATTCAATATCAATATTACTTTAGTTTTACCATTCCTATTCTGATTCCTAATAATATTCCTTTAAAAATTGATGATATATTGTCTACTAATATATATTCCATTGTATAGGTTCTCTTAACTAAGATTACCCCATTGAAAAAGGTGAAAGTGATTTAAGGAGATACTATGAAAAAGAAATAATCATTCCATAAAAATAATTATTATTTGAGTCTGAAACTTGATTAGTGCAATGATTGTGATATTTATTACCAAAATTATTTGATTAGAAAAATACTTATCATAATACCATATTTAAGCAAATAAGCACAAAGTAGAATATGTAATTTGATTAATGAAAGATTTTACTTTTTTTATTCAAGTTTTATTTTATTTTTTTCTCTTATTAAACTATTGATATCCTTGTAGTAAATTTTTGTTAAATTGATGAGTTATTTCTTAACTTTTGAGTATGAAAAATGTTAATTTAATATTAATTAAATATTATACTATTATGTGTATTAATTAGAATATTTAAAATAATAATAGAATTATTATTTTTAATTAGTATATTACATTTATAAAGTTAAATTATATTTTAATATTCAACCTTTTTGTTTGAAAGAGTTGAATTATTGGTTAACATTATTTAAAAATTATATTTTAATTTTTTGTACATGGTGCACAAACTATATATATATAAAGTTTTAAACACAAAATATTAATATGTAATATGATGTGAGATTATATAATTTAATCGTTCTATTTGTATTATATTGATTATAACTTATTTTTTGGAAGACATGTCATAAATTTTATTGAAATTTATAAATAAAGTATATATGATAAGAATAATTTTTAAAATAACTTGATATAAATTGAGTTATAGATCAATTATTGACTTATTCTCTAATCAATTCATTGAATATTTTGATTGTTTATACTAAACTATTTTTAAAAAAAATTCTATGATACATTAAAAAGACAAACGTGAGTGTGATTGAATCCTAAACAATATTATAGTCTGTATGTAAAGTGATACTTGTGAAAGTATTTTGAAATCTCATAAAAATAAATAAAAAAGTAAAAAGTGTTGTTTAAAAACACTTAAGTGTTATAAATATTTAGTGTATGAATAATTTGAACAAAATTGCCTTTGATAATTTTTTTTAACAAAAGGAGAGTTAAAACTTACAAACTAAAAATCACAACAAAAAGAGACTTTATTGTACCGTAAATAAAGGAAAATAGATCCAATCAGACGATGTATAAAATATCTTTAGTTCTTTCATTCATGTTAAGATCATGCTTGATAATATTATCTTATGGTCAGCCACCTGATTGACCTATTTAAATACATATTTGCGAAAATTAATTAGCAATAAAATTATAAACCCAGAGTTAAGGTGAAACCTGATGCATCTATTGTTGAGTAAGAGTTATAGTAGTTGAGTCTATTTCCACTAGGAGGGGACTCATAATGTCTTTTCTTTAACTATCTTCAACCCATGGTATATGATCCATAGCTCAACCTTGATACACGTGATTTATAAATAAAAAATAAAATATATATAATGTAATTGGGAAAAGTATAAAAAAATATATCTAATGAATCGTCAATTGTAGGAAAATTTGTTTTTTTATGATTTTTTTACACGAAACAAAATTAAAAAATAACATATCATTACATGAAAAAAAAATAATGTCATTAATTTTAATTAAAAAAATATCATATTGTATTGTTTCCAAAAAAATTAAGAAATTAAATTAATTTTTTTAATTAATGAAAAAGTCAAATTAAACTAATTAAGTAAAGTTTAAATTAATTTTTTTAATTCTTACAGTTTCAATCTAAAATCACATTAACTTAAAAAAAAATCTTTAATGTAATTTTATTTTAAAATTAAGCAAAAAAATATTCTTTTTTTTTCTTTGTTATAAAAAAAATGTGAAAAATCAACATTATGGGCCTCTTTATGTATCTTCGGTCCAAGGACCCTTAAGGTTAAGTATAGGCTCATGATATATCACTTTTTTTTTATTTTTTTTATTTTTATAAGTACACTTATTTTTCAAATAAAAGAAAATTATTAAAATATTTTTAATTTTATTTATTTTTTTGTTTTATACTTTCAACATTTAATTTAACATTTTTTTTCTTTTTCACATGCATCTTTTCTTCCTTTTTTTTCTTCTCAGTTTTCACATAGACTTTCTCACCTTTTCTTCACTCCCCACCTATTTCTATAAGTAATTTTAATTTTAATTTTTTTAATTTTATATTAGTATTTTCTCCCTCCTTTTTTAATTTTTAGACTATTATCCTCTTCCTTCCCTTTTTTAATTTTTACACGAACCAGAGATGTAGGATTAAACATTATTATTATATGGTACACAAAGAATTTGTCACTAACATTTTGCAAATAACCAAAACGTTATTAGTGCTTATAAGAGTGTCTTTGATACCTAATATTATCGTGGTTCTTAAACATTAAACAATAATGTTTGTCAATTTTTAGTATTGAAGTTTGCCAAGTAGATGTCACATGTAAATTACATTAGTTAATTAAACAATCATGCCTTAACTGATGAAAGGAATGAAGAAATATATTTTTATTGCAAAGCGATAGTTGACGAATGAGAAACTGAGTTACATGAGAGGAAAAAAAATCTCACAAATTACGTTTTTAAGATTTTGAAGTTTTAACATAATAATTTTTTCTTCTAATTTAGCAAAAAATATATATCATTTTTAATTTAACACGGTAAATAAAATAAACTTACAATAACTTTTAATTTGTTTTAATTTTTATATTTATTATTTTAAAATCTTAATTAAAAAAAATAACATTTAAAATAAAAATAAAATTAAAAATATATAAATTTAATTGTAAGTCCATAGAATTAAATTAAAAACTTAAATAAAAAATTTATCATTGGAACAAATTTGGTAAGAATTCCTAAATCTTACATGACATGACATAATGATATCCATAAAAAGAAGCTAAGAATCTCACTTAAACAACTTAGCATTTGGATCTTCTAATTTTATTTTATTCACAAAATCTACGTGAAAAAAAAAAAAGGAGCAACAGAGGAAAATTACACATAAAATTTGACATCGATAAAAAATAAATAATCTAAAATCGAAAAAACATCGTTGTATTGAGTTCTTGGTGCGTGCGAACGTAATCGAGAGCTTTTCCTCTCTCCAGATATTCTCTATCTGGTTGCCTACAAGATTCAGAACATGGATCGCAGAGATTTATTGTTGAATTGGGGCTCTTTACTTTGTCGGTTTCTGGGTACGTTTTCCTTGATTTGGGGTTATTGGATTGCGCGCGTTTCAGAATTCCCAGACCTTGTTTCTGTTTCGGTTATTGCACCTTGTCCTCGAGGTTTAGCTTTTAAGGTAGCAGTAGCTTCGAGGATTGTCATTTTGGATCTTGAGGTTTAGCTCTGAGCTTGAGGTTAGGAATTGCGAGAGGTGAGGAAATCTGATATTAATTGAGCGTGTTTTGGTGGGATCGAGAGGAATCGGTGAAGGGTTAGGGTTTTTGGCCAATGGCTTCGAATCCTCCATTTCACATGGAGGATCAGACGGATGAGGATTTCTTTGACAAACTGGTTGAGGATGATTTAGAGCCTGTTGTTAAGTCTAGCCATGAGGAAGACGAAGGGAATGATTGGGATAAGGCTAAAGTATTTGCCAATCTGGGAATCAGTGATGTTGATGCTGCTGCATTTGAGAATTCTGATGCCAGCGAGAGTGGGGTTGAAGTCAAAGGGGAATTAGTTGCTGGGGAATCCGATGTGGGAGTTGAACAGGAGGAGAATTCTTTGCCCTCCTCTAGCTCAGTTGGCTTTGATAGTAAGGTGGATCCCGGTGATGATGGGACTGTTGTGGGATCGGAATTCACGTCCACTTCAGCTGGAATCACGAGCGATAAAGTCGGTAGTTCTGGGGTTAAGATGGTGGGTTGGAATTCTTTTCATGATGATTTGGATAGGGGCAATAGGTTTGGATCATATTCTGACTTTTTCAGTGAGTTGGGAGATCAGTCTGGGGATTTTCCGGGGAACACGCATGATAATTTAAGTAGTGAGGTGAAGCCTGGTAATGAACTTCAAAATGATGACTTAAATGCCTCTGGTAATTATGTGCAATATCAAGAGGGTCAAGGTTATGATGCATCTTTAGAAAGCCACACAAACCGGCAAGGTGATGGCTTAAATACTTCAGTTAATAATGAACAAAATGAAAAAGGTCAAGCTTATGTTGCATCTTCAGAAGAACACGCAAATGGACAAGATCTGAGTAGTAGTCAGTATTGGGAGGATCTTTATCCTGGCTGGAAGTATGATTACAACACTGGGCAATGGTATCAAGAAGATGGCTATGGTGTAACAGCCACTACTCAGCAAAGCTCTGAAGCCAATGCAGCGGGGCATTGGACAGCCCATTCTGATGGGAAAACAGAGATCTCTTACATGCAGCAAACTGCACAATCTTTTGCTGGAACATTAGCTGAAACTGGCACAACTGAAAATGTGTCTAGTTGGAGTCAGGTTTCACAAGGGAATAATGGGTATCCGGAGCATATGGTTTTTGATCCTCAGTATCCTGGTTGGTATTATGACACAATTGCCCAAGAATGGCGTTCAGTGGAAACTTACAATTCAACCAACCAGTCTTCTGTTCATGTACTTGAAAATGGGCATGCTTCTACCAGTACTTTCTCATCCAATGATAATAGTTTGTATAATGAGTATAGCCAAGCTGATAATTATGGACCACCGGGTGTTGATAATCAGGCTGTAGATGGCAGCTGGGGTGGTTTGTATGACGCTAACCATCGGCAGGGTTTTGATATCTACACAACTGGTACTGCTACTAAAAGACGGGATAATATAACTTCTGCTGGTAACCAACAAGTTAATCATTCTTATGGTTCAAGTATTTCTGTGAACAAAGATCTACAAAATTCTTCTACTTCCTTTGGATCAGTTGTTTGCAATAAAGTAAACCATGATCATGGTTTGGCTAATGGAACTTTTGAACCACAAAGCTTTGGCCCTAGTGGCGACATTGTTCAACAGATTAATTATTCAAACACAAAGTTCAGAGAACAAAATTATTTTTCGAATGATTTTACTGCAAATCAGTATTCACACGCCCCTCATGTTGGGAGATCATCAGCTGGACGTCCTTCTCATGCTCTGGTAACTTTTGGATTTGGGGGGAAACTCATCATAATGAAAGATCCTAGTCTTTTGAGCTCATCATATGGAAACCAGGTTAATTCTCGATTCCTCTTTTTAGTTTTGATCTATGCTTTATCTGGTTTTTGAAAGGCTTTGAGGTTGCTTAATATTGTTTCCTTTATATTCTTTACTTTCTTATGAGTGATTTATCAAAATGATTCACACTGTATATTCATTTATATCCGAAGGATTCTGTACAAGGTTCTGTTTCTGTGTTGAACTTGATAGAAGTTGCCACTGGAAGTAAGGATTCTATGAGCATTGGAAATGGTGCCAGTGATTATTTCCATGCTCTGAGCCAGCAATCTTTCCCAGGTCCATTGGTTGGTGGGAGTGTTGGAATTAAGGAACTGTACAAATGGTTAGATGAGAGTATTGTACACTGTGTATCACCTGACATGGATTATAAACAAGGTGTAAGGTTGAGACTCCTTCTTTCCTTGCTTAAAATAGCTTGTCAACATTATGGAAAGTTACGTTCTCCTTTTGGTACGGACACCATACTAAAAGTAAGATACATCTATAGTCATTCAAATTATTTTCATCCTTTATGTAAACTTTGCCAACTGAATTTTCTATGCTTTTCAACTGAATTTGCAACATTATTAAGTGTTGAATGTTAGGTTAACTTTCATCAATGCATAACTTGGAGATGTTATATGTTTGTTATCCTGCAATATTTCTATCATGTTGATGTAAATGATATATGTCTTTTATTTCTCTACTTCAGAATCACTTCTGTTTGAACTTTGAAGTGATTTATGGCATTATAATTTATAATTTCTTTGCAAATGGCTGTTGTGCTGCTCTATTCTTTTTTCTCTGGCTAAATGTTGACTATACTTATCATGCTGACATGCCCTAGATGGTGTGTGATTCTGAGTCATATTGCCTAAATACTTTTCAGCATTGAATAAATCACTATTTTGGTAAACTTTTGGGCTTCATATTTGATCCAGGAAAATGATACTCCTGAGTCAGCAGTTGCAAAACTTTTTGCATCTGCCAAAATGAGTAGCACAGAGTTCCCTCAATATGGGATGCCAAGTCATTGCTTGCAAAATTTGCCTTCTGAAGGACAAATGAAGGTGTGTATTTAACTCCTGACCCACTTCCACTCTAAGATTGTTTTTCATCTGTTGCTGATTTTGATTTTGATATAGGCAATGGCCCTTGAGGTTCAAAATCTTCTTGTTTCTGGGAAAAAGAAGGAGGCTTTACAATGTGCACAAGAAGGACAGTTGTGGGGACCTGCAATTGTTCTTGCTTCACAACTTGGCGATCAGGTCAGATGTCAATATTTCAGACTGTTTAATACTATATTTCATGTGTGGGCTAGGCTGTCCCTTTAGATCTTACAGTGTTTTTCTCATACTTCCTTTGTTGGGGTGGGGTGGGGGGGGGGGAGGGGGGGGGGGGTGAATTTTGTCCATATTTGCCTTGCAGTTTTATGTTGATACAGTGAAGCAAATGGCACTTCGCCAGCTTGTTGCTGGGTCACCTTTGCGCACATTGTGTCTTTTAATTGCTGGGAAACCAGCTGAAGTATTTTCTATTGATACCTCATTTAGTGGGAATCCTGGTGCTTCTAATATGGCTCAACAGTCTTCACAGGTAATCCCAATAGATAAACTAAGAAGCCGTGCAAAGTGTATGCAATCCTGATGTATTGTTACCTTGCTTCAATAATTAGGAGGTAATCAGTTTCATTTGATTTGGAAGCTCAAACTTTTGTTGTTGCTTTGTCATTTAAGGTTGGATCTAATGGTATGCTTGATGATTGGGAGGAGAATCTGGCTGTAATAACTGCAAATAGAACCAAAGGAGATGAACTTGTAATTATGCACCTAGGTGATTGCTTGTGGAAGGAAAGAAGTCAGGTATAGTTCGCAACCTTTCAATTATTTTCTTCAGTGACTTCTGTAGTTTTCCATTCTGCTTCTGTTTTAAGACTTTTATTTTAGATTACTGCTGCACATATCTGCTATTTAGTTGCTGAAGCAAACTTTGAGTTATACTCAAATAGTGCAAGACTCTGTCTTCTAGGAGCAGATCACTGGAAATGTCCTCGAACTTATGCTAGTCCGGAGGCTATCCAGGTATTTGAAATTTTTTTAGTTATTAATTTGCTTCTTCCACAAAATTTTGCTTTTCTGTTGAATGTACTTGTTTTGAGTCCTTTCTCACAAAATGTTGTGTATGCTTTGTCCATCTGCCAAAAGTTCTCTCTCTGTCTCAGACTAGGCTGTTTCATATTCTGCACAATATTTGTCTAGATGCTTGAAAGATGGCATTTGCCTTTTCCAATTCCCTCTCTAGTCCTAGATTTATTTTCAAATAATATGATTTTATTTTATATTCAACCTTTTGTTTTGTGAGCTTTCTAAATAACCATCTGTGTGTCATACTTGTGCCATCTCAAGATTTGTTGCTTTTTTAAAAGAACATGTTCGATACCATTCAGTATGTTGCATGATGCATTTATTGAATTACTCAAACATATCTTACCTAATTGGTACTTGGACAGAGGACTGAGTTATATGAATATTCAAAGGTGGTTGGAAACTCTCAGTTTACATTGCATCCATTTCAGCCTTATAAGCTTATATATGCATATATGCTAGCTGAAGTGGGGAAGGTTTCAGATTCATTGAAGTAAGTTCATATAACATTATTTTAATTGCGATATTACTTTTTATATGGTCTCTTATCTTATTGCTGTTATTTGATTTCAGGTACTGCCAAGCACTATTGAAATCCTTGAAAACTGGTCGTGCTCCAGAAGTAGAAACATGGAAACAATTAGCATTATCTCTTGAGGAGAGGATTAGAACTCACCAACAGGTACTTCCTTGTTCTTTATTAAATCTTCATTAAATCTTCATTATTAAGATAGTCTTGATTCTTATCTTGTTTATTAATAAATGTTTAGGGTGGATATGCTGCAAATTTGGCTCCTGCAAAGTTAGTTGGCAAATTGCTCAACTTTTTTGATAGCACTGCACATCGAGTTGTTGGTGGTTTACCACCGCCTGCTCCATCATCATCGCAAGGAACTGTTCATGGTAGTGAACAACATTACCAACACATGGCACCCAGAGTATCATCTAGCCAATCAACAATGGCCAAGTCATCATTAGTTCCATCTGCTTCGATGGAACCCATAAGTGAGTGGACAACTGACAATAATAGAATGCCTAAGCCTAATAGAAGTGTTTCTGAGCCAGATATTGGCAGAACCCCAAGACAGGTGCGTGAGTACTATGAAATGTGTATTGTGAAAAAATTTCATCTTCCTCTGCTTGTTTTTGGTTTTATAGAATTTTGATGGAAAAGTTCTGGTTGAGATGTATTGCAGGAAACAACGTCACCTGATTCACAAGGAAAAGCACAGGCATCTGGGGCTACATCTCGCTTTTCCCGCTTTGGGTTTGGCTCGCAACTTTTGCAAAAGACAGTAGGGCTTGTCTTGAAACCTCGCTCTGGTCGACAGGTATAATTAGTTTTTTTTTTCCTTTTATTCACCACTGTACTTCTGATTGTGCCTGTTCAAATGGTTCTTATTCTACTTTGTCTGTAGGCCAAATTGGGTGAGAAAAACAAGTTCTATTATGATGAGAAGCTGAAGACATGGGTGGAAGAAGGTGCTGAACTTCCAGTTGAAGAAGCTGCATTGCCACCACCTCCAACAACTGCTGCTTTCAAGAATGGTTCAACTGAATACAACTTGAGATCTGCATTGAAGACTGAAAGTTCACCTCCTATTGAGGGTTCTAACATAAGAACTTCTAGCCCTGAACTTAGTCCAGGGATGGCACCGAAGCCACCCACTGCAAATCAATTTTCTGCCTGGGGTCATTTGGGTGTTCGGTCAAGGTAACAACTATTTTTTTAGTTTTGTTTAGATTATTTATATTTTATAATAGCAAGTAGGGGTCAACTTTGTTTTTAGTTATACTTATTAGATTTTAAGCATTGTAAAGTGGATCTCCAATTGGTTTCCTTATTAGATTACTTAGTTTTAAATTGAAGCCTTTAATGAACTGTAAGATTGTAGCACCTAGAAAAGGCTGAGCTTGCATAGTAGTTGAAATATGTATTTTATCTTTTCTCTTATTGGGCTGAGCAGGCATACGAAGGGTTGTCTTGTAGGCCTAAAGAAAATGTATCTTAAAAATACTACATATGACAAGAAAGAAACGAGGAAGAACCCAAGGGTTATGGTTATTCTTTGCAGCTAGTTAGGTTTCCAGAAACAAGAGGAAAGTTTTATTATTCATCATTCATCTGTCTCCCAGTCATCAACATAATTTGAAACGTATAATATTGATGAAAATGTTTTATGAACTATGCAGGTATGTTGACACCTTCAACCAAGGTGGTGGAACCTCTGCAAACTTGTTTCAATCCCCCTCTGTTGCATCTGTGAAACCGGCTCTTGCTGCCAATGCGAAGTTTTTCATTCCTACTCCTGCACCATCATCTAATGAGCAGACAATGGAGGCTATAGCAGAAAGCCACCAAGAAGTTAGTGCAACAAATGAAGATCCTTCAACATCTGCCACAAATGAGTGGTCATACCAATCTCCCAAACATGTATCCCCAACGCCTATTCAAAGGTTCCCAAGTATGGATAACATTTCAAAACAGTTAGCAACAGAAGGAAGTAACGCTGATTGTGCTCATTCACGCCGAGCTTCATGGAGTGGGATGGAGTGGGAGTTTAAATGATTCATTCACCCCTCCAAAAATGGGTGATATTAATGGTGTGTTTAGTAATTGTGAAGTGGAAGAGAAGTGAATGGAAGTGTGGAAAAGTAGAAAAATTGAATGTGTTTGGTATGAGAGAAATGAAGGGAAGTGGGGATATTTTTTATTGAGCCCACGGTAAAAAAAAAGCTTTGGCGTAGAAAATGAGGAGAAACGAGCAAAGTCTAGCAGCAGGGTCTTGGTTCAGTCATATGCTTATGTTTATAAATATATATACATACATATATATATATATATATAAACTTAATTGATTTTTTTATAAATATATATTTATTTAATGATAATATAAATAATTTTATTTATTATTTTT